CGTATGGGGAACAAAGACTCCTGTCATATCCTTCTCCTCTATCGATACAGGGACAGTGTTCGTTTATCCCGAAGCAAGTGAGGAAACGTCCGCATCCTCGTCTTCGACTGCAGTAGCCGTCACCTCCAGTCCGCTCGTTGTCCCCTCCGCTCCATTTTTAACAGTCGCACTAGGAACAATAACTCCTGTCACGTCCTTCACCTCTGTAGACACAGGGACAATGTCCGTTTGCCCTGGAGCAAGTGAGGAAACTTCAGCCTCGGTGTCCTCATCCTCGACTGTAGTAGCCGTCGCTTCCATTCCAGTAGTACTCTCTTCTGCTATGGTTTCAGCAGTCGTCAGAGGAGCAATGACTCCACTCACGCCCTCAGCATCTGTCAATGCGTGCACAACGTCCGTTTGTCCTGGAGCGTCTTTAAATGTAGTAGCTGTTGCCTCTGCTCCATCTGTACTCCCTTTCACTCCAGTTTCAGCAGTTATTCCACTTCCACCCTGCGCATCTCCCAATAAATGGCTAATGTACGCTTGTATTTGAGCAGATGAGTTAATGACAGGTCTTTGGAAAGTTGAAACCAACAGACAACTTATGCGAACAAGGCAAGATAGTAGACGCATTGCTTTTTTTCTAAAATACTAACGCGTTTTGGTCTACTCCTCTGTGCCCTTTAATATATAGTGCCACATAGTATGAGTACAGGGGTACTTTAAGGCTCTAGGCAGAGATTAAGGGGCACAGTAATGAGCACACCTTTCTACAGCATCTGTTTGTACTATTCTTTTGAGCAATCCGTAACTGGCTTTCATATTGTAAAGGTGTTGATGATAAAGTACTTGTGGCCAAGAGACTGCCACCGCAAAGTCTGGTCTCAGAAAGTGGGGAGAAGCCCTTTTAGGAACGTTCATATATGTCTAACGAGGTAGTCGCACAGCCATCAGAGGCGTCAACTCAATATTTTTAGTTTCAACTTTTACCTGAAACATACATACACAGGGCTTGGAGAAAGCATTTACTTGATTCTTGGATAGGCATTCATACAGTAGCCATAAAGTATTTAAGCAGTGAGATACTATTAGAACAATTAAAACACCAAATGCAAGATAAAGTGCACTTCACTGTTCGAGTTACAACAATAAATATGCCCAGGTGTTTCCTGGCCTTCATTATAACACGACAGTTCCCCCACCGATTTCGACGATGGGCACCACGCGCTCCAACAGCCGCAGCAAACGC